TAGCTGCTGACTAAATGAGCTGAAATGTGCGACACTTGCAGCTTTATCTGAACACAAGAAGACGCTTCTGTCCAGCTGGTCTGGGAACACGAACCCAGGACGCCTGCACAGTTTTTACACGTCACAAAGGTGGACGTGCATTGAGGGAGACTGGATGCTTTGAGTCCTTTACCCTCTTTACGTCTACCAGGCTGCAGAAAAATCTCGATGTTGTAACGGTGAAAACAAAGGTGACGGCTGAACTTCAAAAATCCTCATCAGCAAACACAAAGAGCACCACGGTTCTGTGCTCTTTGAAGGCACAATTACGCTGATTTGTTTTCATCTGGTTGGACAGAGCAGTGTTGGTAATAATGCACAGGCTGGCAGCAGGCTGAGGAAGTGAAACTACAAATACAACAGGAACCTTTCCTCTTTGATGCTGCTGCCCACATAAAACACACAAAGAGCCTCCCCTCTTCCTAACACAGCATTTGAACTCTTTTGTCATCCTGGCCTCACGTTTCCACAGAGCTGATGTTATTTCAAGTGTGCCATGATTCGGTGCACAAGCCGACCGGCCGTGTGATGGGGGGCTGATTCTAGCGTGAAATTCTTTTTATTTTTTTAACCACAGCATCCAGCAGTGAACGGTGTTGTGTTCGTGGTCTCACCAGCGGCAGCAGACGGGGGTAGAAGAAGACGTGAGTCTCCGCGACGTCCATGCAGCTGATGAGCTGTCTCAGGTAAGCCCGGTCGTCCAACGAGACGTCGGCTCCCGGCAGCAGCACGTCGCTCTTCAGCACACAGTTCAGGTAAACAGGGAGCAGCTTCATGCACTCCGGGAGAATGAGCTGGGAAAAAAAACAGAAGACACACTGTTAGAGAGCTGAACAGACTCCTAATAATGTGTAAATATGATTAAGACGGTGTTTGTCAAACATGTCTAACGTGAACTTGCTACTAAAAGTCTGTCAGCTATAAAGAGCAGGGACTGTGTTCTGGACACATCAAGCTCACTAATGATCAGTAAATTCAATTATTTAAACTCCACGTTGCTCGGCTTTACTGCACGCTCATTTTCGAGCGCTAACAGTGTGCAGGACCCGACTGAGACCTTTGGGTTTATTATTATTTTTTGTCCTAAACATGCCCAAAAACTCACTGAAATCGCCACACACACCAGGACTGGTGAAAAATTTTATATTTCAAAGGAATTGGGCTCGTCACTGCCAAAATGGCTCCACAGCGCCCCCTTGAAAATTTCAACAGACTCCCGTCAGAAGCACGTTTGACCGAGAGCTACGACATTTGGTAGCCATACAGAGCATTTCAGGATGGACAAAAAAGTCTCTCTGGTCCAAGCTCTAAAATGCATCACGGCTCAACTGCGCCCCCTACAATATTTCAACAGAGTCCCATCACGGCTACATTTGGTTTAGAGCGACAGAACTCGGTACACATATGTAGCAGGTCGGGACGCACAAAAATGTCCATCAGCATGTTTCTATAAACCCAACAGGAAGTTCGCCATGTTGGAAAAACGGCAGAGGACAACCTGCTCTACCCCCTGAGCCAGAGCCGTCCTGTACTGACCTTAAAATCTGGATTAGGGCAACAGAAAAATAAAGTACTTTTCAAAATATTTCTATCCAGAAAGTAAAAGTAGCAGAATAGTAGTAAGATTAATTAGTCTTGTCCCGTGTTTGGTCTGATTGTAGTTTACTGTGCTGCTGTTCCCCTTCCTGGTTCATCCAACATATTTCCATAAAAACACAGTTTGGATTCTCTTTTCTCTTGATCTGTTGATGTTTTCAGTACCTGACCAGCAGACGAAGGACTTGCACAGTTCTTCCTGTAGCAGGCCAGAATCTGAGCGCACTGGTTGACCAGAGTGTCCCTCACCGCCTTAGTGGGGTTGTTCAGGACGCCACGGAAAGCTGCAACACACACAAACACACATAAATATATGAACCCTGAGAGCTACAAGGAATTTCTGAACCACTAGGAAATAATATTATGAATGATTACTTTTTAAAACATTGGTGTCTGACAAAAAAAAAGTCAATTGCAAACGGCAGATATTTAGCATCCTGCACCTTTTCTTTGACAATGAGAGAACGTACGAAGGTGAATGCATTGACAGCAGGAAGCTTTCAGGAGCAGCTACAGCTTTCTACTGTTTGCTAATTTGCAGCTCCACAGGAGCACCTGCAGGCTGCTTGATATTATTTTTAGAAAACGTTACTCTTTCAATTCTCCGCTCGCGCCTCCTTTGAGAAAAATGCAGTGAATGCGTGCAGTCAGACTTAAACCTCAGGTCTTCACGCTGAACAACACTGAAGGGGACGCTCAGCCGGTCAGAAGCTCACCGTATTTGGAGAAGAAGTTAATGATTGTGTCCGTCTCGCAGTTGCGGTAGAGGTCAGCCAGCTGGGAGCAGCAGTTCACCGCCATGTTGTGGATGCGGAGACGCCTCTGGCCGCTGCAGCTGGTGTACAGCACGGCGCACTGCACGGAAACAAACAGATGCGTCCTGTAAATGAACTGGGTCTGACACTGTTCATGTGTGAATTTTAAGACGCGCCTCTGCTTGAAAACGCCACAAGTCTGAGCACAATCAGCAGTTCTCCAGATCCTGCTGGTCGTCTTTCTATCCGTCACATATTAACTCAGTTTTATGGCGGATTAAACGGGTCACTTCACATGCCAGGATCAGACACTGATATAAAAACCTATGCTACTACTAAAGGCAATGCAATTAATCTACTGAACTCCATTTTTTTCTTTTTTTTGCTCCAGTCACATTTTGACTTAACGTGGGCTCATGTTCACTGCATTAGAAAGTCCTGCACATCAATGGAAACAAGAACACTCAGAAATGCCTTCTGTGCAGCACGACGCAGGTGTAATGCCATAAATCAGACAAAAAAGAAAAGTTGAATTTCTTTGATTCCTTTTTCTTTTTTCCTCCCCAACACTGGAAAAACATTCTGGCTCTACATCCTACAGGCGTCCTACTGCCGACAAATCCTCCCATCTTCATACAATCTGCACCTTAACCTGTATACGTGTAAATATGATGGTTTTTTTAAAGGTTGATATTTTTTGTACTTTGATATTTATTTATCTATTACCTTTAGGTATCCTTTTATTCTTTATTCTTTTTATTTTGCACGGCTGCAGAGTTTTTTGCTCTTTAGAGATTCTGGTTATTGCACTGTGTTTTTTTTTTGGCAAAAATTTTACACAAGGCAAGAAGAATAAATTGATTTTGATTAAATATTTAAGCTCACATTTGTTTGATTTTTCCGGTTCCACAAAACCTAAAGTCATGATGAGTTCAGAGACGACTGGGGAAATTTAAATTCAAATGATTCTCACAGTCTTCATCGCTTCTGGCTCGCTAAATGGTGTCATTTTAAAAGATATCAAACATTTAGAATAAAATTTGAATTAGAATAAAACTTTATTGATCCTAATTCTAATTTTATTCTAAATGTTCTAAATTTCAAACCTTCTGGCAGGTTCTGAGGGTTAAATGGCTGATCCTGCAGATGAAACGTGTTCAGTTCTTATAAGAGTCCTCTCCTCAGAGAAGTTTTTTTCATGATCAACACAAACGTGCACACCTGCATGAGCGCCCCCGTCTCCTCGCTGAGCTTGTCGTCGTGTTTGAACTCGACGGTGATGGCCTTGTCGCAGTCCAGGCCCGCCAGCTCCACATCTGTGGTGTTGCTCATGAAAAAGGAGCCGAAGAAGTCTGTCGCTCGAATACCTGAGGGGAGGGAACAAACGAGGACACGTGAGTTCAGCTGTCACATGCTGGATCTGGCTCTGTTTTGTTGTTGTTGTTTTGAAGTGCAGGAGTCTCACCTGTGCTGGTTCGCACCCTCATTACAGCATCGAAACCCACGAGTTTCTGAACGTCTCGTCTGAGATCGTTCAGGAATCGCTCCTGATCCGACTGAGCCTGGGATAAAGAAAACACATCAGGTGTTACAAACAAAACTACATGTCATATTAGTAAACGCTCCCACCTGTAGTGTATTATAATGCTGTCAGAGAAAAGACAACTGAAGAGAAACATCCACCTTAGAGTCGGATGCATTATGAAACTCAAAGAAGGAGGAATCGGCTGATTTCTGCTCACCTGGAAGTAGGTGTATTTGTAGACCGACCCTCCAGTGGAGACAGGAACGACCCCTAACGTGGCAACGTCCACATACTGGTTGGGGAAGAGGAACAGATCCACACAGCAGCCCTGGGCGACACACTCCTTAGCCAGAGTGTTGTAGAAACCCACCTGCGGCTGAAACAGAGACTGCGGATGACAGGAGAGGAAGGGGAGTGAGTGTGGATCAACGCGACAACCCGAGCCGCTAGAATACACTAGAATCCTGCACTCGTGTTTACCTTCTCCTTGTCCGTCCCAATCAGCTTCTTGTCCTCCCGGTTCTTTAGTTTGCCAGGAGCCTCTGCGATGGGCAGAGAGGTGTGGAACACAAACAGCTTCCCTGCGCAGTCAGCAGCCTGAGAAAATGACACGCGGAACATCAGAGCAGCGGCCGTGTCAGCGGTACTGTGCGGCCGCAGTGTCATGCATCCAGATGCATTAAGATCCAACTGGCTCATGCAGCTGAGCTATTTTTAGTTTCACATTTGCCCATCTTTGTGGCTTTCCTTTAACATGTTGGGTTACAGCCCAGCAATTCACCTCAAGCTTTTTTTTTTTTTTTACAAACATCACATCAGTCTTTCTCAACCCAAAGCTAAGGTTGATCGTGAAGCCTCAGAAGCATGTGTTACCTTCAGTGCCTCCAGTCCTGCCTGGATGACAGGTCCAAAGACCGTCTCCGTCTCCCTGGTGTCTGCAAACATCTCTGGGATCTGGTCCAGCAAACTGAAGAAAACCACAAGCAGCATGGCGTTAAACCAGATCAATGTGGCCGACCATCTGTCCAGCGACGTCTCGCATGCTCGTTGATGTGCAAACGTCTGCTCACCTCTCGATAACTAGCCGGCTTTCGTTCACGTTGACGAGGAAGCCGTCGAGCAGGGGCACGAACATGTCCGACACGTCCGACACCACCAACATCTGCGGCTGGGCCAGGCTCGACTTGACGTTGTAGAAGTGCAAAACCTTGTTGTAGGTGACGAAACCGACCCGCACTGCAGACTCCATCTCTGGGTTCTCCCTGAGTTTAGAAACAGAGGAAGAAATGGGGGGAAATGTCAGAAAGCTAGAAGCAAGTGTAGAAATTCTCTTTTTAAAAATCCGTTTTTTGCTTTTCCTTTTTTGGAATCATCCGTCCTTCCTCATTTCAAACCATTTTACTCATCTAATCCATCTTTCCTTTCATCAGTTTCCTCTTTCACATCACTGATCTGACCTTGTCCAGCTACGTGTCTATGAAGATTCTCAGTCATCCAGGTCACGGTTATTCTCATAGATAAATCGTAGCAACTGGACTTGCACCTCTTATCCAAGAGGCTTCATCAGTTAATGGCTCCTTTAGGATATCAGTACCTGGAACTCCCAACTAGTCAGTCAGAACTGATGAAGCCTCTTGGATGAGAGGTGGAACATCTTCAAGGAACTCAAGCAAGTCCAGCTGCTACGATTACTCTACGAGAATAACTCGTCCATCTATGTGTTTGAGTACCTGGGCAGGTAGTCCAGCAGGGTCTTGAGTTCCTGGCAGACGATGTTGACCATGCCGCTCTTCACAGCGTTGTAGGACACGTCGATAAGGAAGATGAAGGCTGGAGGCTGTGGAAGCTTGTTGTTCTGTTAAGAGAGAGGAAAAATAACGGAGTCACATCAGCCTCACACACACGGTCTACGGATCTTTACCTTATTATGTGCAGAGTATGATACATGTTTAATGGTGTTTCAATAAAAAAAAATCCTACAGGTAACACCTAGAAAGCATTTCAATCAGATTTCCATTTCTCTCTTAAGAATATCAATCACAACCGAAGTCTCGAATAAACCGATTATACTGTCGATGTCACACCTGGAAGCCACGAATCCCAAAGGTAACGTTTTAGTAAAAGTTACTGTGAACGAGGCTCATACTGCTCATCATACTGTGGTGTTAACATCAGGATAATACATTTAATTTATAAATAACAATAAAATAAATAAAGTATAAATGTAATGCTTCATGTGCAATACTGCTGCTACATTTCACTGTTCACTGCAGAAAACAGCTGCTAAATGTGTGCAGATGTGCAGGTGTGTATGTGTAGATATTTATGGATTTATGTGTGTATTTGTTCACATGTACATATTGTCATTGTTTTTATCTATAATAACTTTTGTTGTTATTTACCAGTCCAATGGCAAACTTTTGCATCAAAATTTCTTTCAAAACGTGCACCAACTACTGTATGTTCTGTTTGACAATAAAGTGCTTATTCTATTCTGTATTCTATGTTCTATATTCTATGTTCTGTATTTTATGTTCTATATTCTATGTTCTGTATTCTATTCTATGTTCTATATTCTGTATTCTATGTTCTATATTCTGTATTCTATTCTATGTTCTGTATTCTATGTTCTATATTCTATGTTGTGTTCTATGTTCTATATTCTATGTTCTATGTTCTATGTTCTGTATTCTATTCTATGTTCAATATTCTATATTCTGTATTCTATTCTATGTTCTATATTCTATATTCTATTCTATGTTCTATATTCTATATTCTGTATTCTATTCTATATTCTATATTTTATACTATTCTAGTCTATAAAATTTTTTCCGGAGCCATATCTGTTGCAAAACGTTCCGTATCTTATCTTGAAAAGTGAATCAAGCACAGAAAGAAATAAAAATGCTTTTTAAAGTTGGAAAAAGTCCCATCAACCACTGCAGCAAGTCACATTTATCTCCTCCTGTAAGTACTTTGACACAAACAATAAGATTGAGCACAGTTTTGGTCCCTATTTCTGTTTTGTCGGCTTTCCACCAATAAAATAATTCAGCGTTTATCGTTTTGTCAGCTGCCCTGCACACCATCATTTCCAAACTGGTGCACGTAAGACGAACATAGACTCATACCAGACAAGGCTACGGCCTGCAGACTCTGGATTCACTATTGCACCTTTTTAACAGTAATAAAAATTAATGAAAAACACTTCTGCAGATGGGTAAACAATCCACTTTCGTCTCTATAATTTGTAGGGACATTAGAATGCTAAAACAGAGCTCTGGGAACAGTGATAGCGGTTGTTCAATCTACGAGTGCAGCGAGGAGAAAAGAACCCTTCCGATCCCAAATCTTACCTTACAATAGTCGACAGTTGCCAGGAACTCGTAGCTGCCCAGTGAAAGCTCCGGCCTGTCGTAGCAGTCCACCCTCTTGCCGGTGTGATCCAGATGCTGGAAGTAATGTGGAGGCACTGCGGAGGGGAGCAGGAAGGACAACATCAATACAGCGGGTTCGATACGGCGCAGCGCAAAACCCAACTGTTCATGTTTTCCAAGACACAAGCTCACCCTCTGTGACACAGCTGCAGAACCCACACTGGAAGCGGCGGCCTCCTTCTATGAACTGCATGTACGGACACATGTAGGCCTTGCAGCGGTTGCAGCGGATTGGACCGCCCTCGCCGTGGTCCACCAGGTACGGAGGGGTCTGACAAGAGAGTGGATAGAAAAAAACACTAATACCTGAGGCCGACAAACCTGGCGTGGACGGAATTACTGACACGGTATTCAATGTGTGTTATCAGTCCACCTGCTTTTCCCCCCACTAGTGTTTTTCATGCCAAAATTACGCAACACAGCCCAGTGCGGCCCAAACGGTGGATATTGGTTACACATGAAGAGAGCCCGAAACGAGGTCATTCAGCCACTCCCACCCCTGTGGTTTTGAGACAGATTATCCCGCTGACGGCATCCAGTTATAATATCTACAGGCATTTTCCTGAAAACTAATCTTTTATCAAATCTGGCTGTGAGTGAAAACTGTCCAACTGCCGCGGCGGAAGATGCAGCTGCACTGTGGATGAGAAATGCAGGAAAAGACTGTTGACGGGTCAGATTTCTCTAAATTATATGAAATAGATTCTCAGTTTCCAGAGTTAGTAATACACCACGCAACTCCAAATGTGGTTTGCATCTTTCATGACTTCAAATGATGTTTATGTTCTTTATTATTTTATCAGATGGGTTCCAATTAACGCAATTTATGTCACGCTATACAGCTACAGATCAGAAAAAAGGCCTGTTCTAGGTAAAGCTTATGACATCTAGGAGGGAACAACAACGAGTGGAGCATCACTGACCTCATCAGGCGGCAGCGTGGCGAGGGGCTTGACGACGGCGGCCAGCGGCACCTGAGACTGCTTGGCCATGTCGGCTGTGCAAGGCATGTTGTAGGCCGTACAGCGAACAAACCTGGGACTGGCATTTCCTAAACAAACACACACTATTAATATCACTCCACTGTTTGTCTGCAAGTTTTTCCTAATTTGTGTTTTATTAGCAAAAAAATAAAAGGAAGTTTGGAAAATTGTGTGGAAATTCAGTAATTTGTGTCCTGGCTTGCGATAAATAAACACAATTTCCCACAGTAGCCACACAGTTTTAGTTTTCTTGCTGTTTCCATTATGGTTTGGGGCAAACCAATTGAAATGCTAACAGACAATACATCAAGTAAAACTCTTCAACCCTTTATTTCTGCATGACTTTGTGACATTTTTCAAAATTTCACTTCATGAAACCGTTTTGGAACAAGCGAGGAGAGGAAAGTGAGAACTGACCTTGGTCTTTGACCTGGAAGGTGGTGGTGACCAGCGGTGGGGCCTGACCTCTGACCCCTGTGGTGAATGGCTCAGTGCTCTTTGCCTTGTCGTCCTCTATTACCTGGATCTGAAAACAAGAACGGAGCAGAAACGTTTCCCGACTTTGCCGCACGTTTACAGCGTCAGTGCACAACAAATCGTCGCTGGGTCTCACAAAAGACGAAACACGTAACACCCATGCAGGAGAGGACTTTCACACAACTCCCACACATGTGCAACAACCAAACACACCTAAACCCCGCCAACATCTGTGGACAAAAAGAAGTGAGGACATGTGGTACAAATTCATGCTGAAGCTGATTTGTAGGTTCACAAATATGATCAAAGGGACTTCAAAAACAAAAGTAAATGAAATCCCCAAGAAAGAGGGCAGGATTTATCAAGGCATGCCTTTTAATGCACAGAACTACTGGGAAGCCAAAATGCTGCAGAATAGCATGCAGAGTATGGAAAAGGATCAGCGGGGGGAGTGGTGGTTGTGGGAACTCCTCGATGACAGAACTAAGATGGGCTGCCTCAAAATCCTTATCAAACACACATAAAGCAGTGAGGTGAGCGAGGATCGTGACGTCTGGGGAGGACTTAAGTTGTTCTCATTCTCAACAACATTGTGATGACCACCGACGTGGAGGGGTTAGAAGGAGAGGACAGGAGGTGGAGGCAGTGGGTTAATGCAACCGGAGCACAGAGGACAGGGTGAAGCAGAGGAAAAGGCAGGCACACAGGAAACTTACTGGGCTGGGGATAGCGTCTGGATCTATTCTATGTCTTGATTTCTGCACAGCCGGCATGTCAGACGCTTGCTTTACATTCAAAAGTTTGTCCAGCAAATTGTGCAAAACAGGACAAAATGAGTAAATACAAAGAGTGAAAAGATTAAAAAAAAAAAAAGGTGTGTGAGCAGAGAAAAACCCAGCAAAGACAGTGCTGAGTAGCAGGCAGCACTGGTTTTATTAAGACAGGAACTGATCAGTAGTATTGATTACAGATTAGTGGTATTGTAGACTTTATGGCATTCAAGTGTCAGTGGATTTAAACTAGCGAGCAGCCTGACAAACACTCTGAACATCTCCACATGTAAAAAGAAGGTCACAAACAAAATGCTTATATGAGACTTCTGTAGTGCTTGAGCTGGGCAACATAAAGTCAACCATAATGGCATCTTAAAAATCAATCTGTATTGTGATATCAGGCGGTGAATGTGGCGTCCTCGGTAGAGTAAACACATACATATTTATAACGTTACTCTTTAGATTTGAACCCATAAGTGTTTAGATTCAGCATAAATATCTTCTTTTCTCGATCTGTCATTCTCACATCACACATGATAAAGACTGCCCATTGACGGAGCGAAGAATATATTCCTATTTTTATGAGACTACATTTGTACGACAATGTTATTGACAAAAATAAGACACGGTGTCTTATTGTGACACATTCAGATGAGGAAGAACGATATTGTGATGCTGCAATCGATAATATTCTCGGAAATTGAGGTCATTCTAAGGAAAAAACAGAATTGCTGCCCAGCTCTAAGTATTGCATTCAAAAAACATGTTCACTCACTTGATTAGAAACACCTGTGAAATCTAATGCAATTCAACACAACTGCACTGTCATAAATTCTACGTTTACAAAGTTTAGAAAAGGCAGAATTTGTGTTGACTTTATCAGAAATCTTTATATTCTGACACGTTTACTAATGAAGTCATAGCTGCAGGTGGTGTTGTAATACCTCTCAGTATGATGGCATTCACTACATCACCATGAGCTCAAAAAACTAATCATCACAGAAGTGACATCACAGGTCAGCATGGCTGTTGTATCATAACACAAAAACTGTGTAGTGCATTTGCTCACCGGGCTAGGAATGGCATCTGGGTCAAGTCTTTTCTGTGCAGGTGGAGCAGGAGCTGGCGCCGGTGCGGGGGCTCCGTAGTTTGGTTGCCCGGGATAAGGGCCTGCATAGCCAGGCTGAGGGCCTCTCACCTGCCCAAACGCACCTGAGCAGAACACAAAGACCAGCTGAGCAATGGAAAAAAGAAAATGGTAATCGCTTTAGCCTCCACAAGCAGCTGTCTATTCACCGTTCTGCTGAGGAGGGTATCCTGCCGGCATGCCAGGCTGGGATGGAGGCTGCTGCAGGGGCCCAGGAGGGCCTGGTGGGCCCTGTGGTCCTGGAGGCAGGTGGTTGCTCTGAGCCATGGAAGTGGGGGGCATTTGAGCTCTGGGAGGAGGAGGCCCTGAGTGATAGGGGAACGGCTGGGATGGAGGGGGCTGCTGCTGTGGTGGCATGGGGCCTGGGTACTGGCAAGAGGGGGCTGAGGTGGGAGGAGGACCAGGAGGAGGAAAAGACCCAGGCTGAGAGGAAGGTGGAGGTGCTCGAGGTGGGAAGGAGACCGGGGCAGTGGGAGGTGGGCCGGCGGCGAAAGCGGGCTGGCTAGCAGGTGGTGGCGCTGAGGAGAAAGGAGGCTGGGATGGAGGGAAGGACTGCTGCGGCAGGGACACCGGGGGAGCAGGGGCCTGACTGGGTGGAGGCACGGGACCCGAGTAGGAGGATGGAGGTAAAGTTTGCTGCGAAGGAGGCGGCGGTACAGAAGAAGAGGTGAACTGCTGTTGAGAGGTAGGGGGGAGAGAAGAGTTGAATGGCTGTTGAGAAGGAGGCGGCGGGCTTCCGTAGTATTGCTGCGAAGCGGCAGGGCCACTGGGAGGTGGAGGCTGGGAAGGAGCAGAGGACACGGGAGGAGGAGGAGCCTGGGTGTAGGAGGGCGGAGGCGCAGCCGAGTAGGCGGTGCTGACGGGAGGCTGGGAGCTGTGAGGTGGAGCTGGATGGAGAGCAACAGACACATGATAAAGTTTAAGACTCTGACATCATTATGTGTGTAAATTACATTAAACTCAAGCACACATCCATCTAAATGTACCATATCCTGGACCAGCTGGGGTCGGCGGTCCCGAGGTGACCTGCATCCCAGACATCTGGTTAGTGACCTGCTGCATCGTGGGTGGAGGCCCGTAGTGTTGGGGATAGGAGGGGTGAGGCCCTGACAGGTTCATAGCTCCCGGGTTGTATGGCTGAGACACAGGAGGCCTGGAGACACACAGATCTGTTAGTGTTGCAAGAAGCAAGTGGATTATAGCAAAAAAGGAGCAAAATTTCTACGCTAAGCATGCAAGTAACTGGGTTTTTACTTTCACCATCACACTGTGAAAGTGAAAGAGTAGCTGGATGAGGGGAGAAATCCTCACGTCAAAACCACAGCGAGGCCTCAAAAAGTCAAAAATAGTTCATCACCGCTGCACATTTGAATATTTGTAAATATCAGACACGATTGCACAGAGACAATCCAGACTTTTTCTATCCCTAATAGAGTTTAACTAAGACTGCCATTCAAAACAAGACGGGCAGCAGGAGAGAAAGCTGATTACGAACTCGCTGCATGTGTACATAGATTTACAGGAACAAGGTCACGTGCGTGTAAACACACCGATTAACAGGATATAATCACAAAACGACCTGCGTGCTAACCACAAACGCCGCATTTGACAGAAGCAGCTAATCTGTTAGACGGCCCCGGTGACTTCTTCATCCTGACATTAGAGTCTCCTGGAGCACGTCCAGTCTGGATAATAATATCCTAGCATGATGAACTCATGTGGCCTCTTGGCAGTACCTGACTTAATCTAGCTGTTTAAACCTGCACACAGAGGAAAAAACACTTTTACATCTTGTATTGTCTCACTTTACTTTCTATCCTCTGCATTTCAAGCAGGAGCACTTCTTGTCTGTTACAATCCACTGAACCTCTCTCAACACATTGAGTGTTTTTGATTAATTTTCTATGGTTGATTTGGAATCCACTCTCGCTCCTAACTAGACAAATGACAGTGTTTTTGAAGCAGCATCACGTCCTGACGTCTCAGACAGCCTCGGTACAGTTATCTGGTGTGTTTAATTGGATTCTGTCACCTGCTTGAATGGACCTATAAAGTCAAGGCTCCACAGTTTGAACAACTTGCTCAGCAAACACAGTAAATCAACATATAATTACCTGGGTTGTGCCTGTGTCATGGGCGGGGGCCCATTTTGCACGTCCCCTTGACTGTGACTGTACTGATTATACTGCTGAGGTGCTGAGACAGGAGGGGGTCCGGTTGTGGGAGGACCCCTGGCAGGACCTGAAATGCCTGAAATGAGAACAAACGATTACTACACATACTTTAAAAAAAAAGGCTGTTACTAAGAATCCTGAGCATACTCTGAAATTAATCTCTCTAACGTGAGGAGATCAGCGCGGCGGGCTAAACGCGGCTATAGGCCACTGCAGTGGCCAAACACATTTTTAGAACTAACTGATTGCATTCCCAGTTTTGCCTCTGGGGTAAGGAGCACAGACTACATCATGAAACCAGGGTAGCAAGGACCGTGTGCAAGAAGAGTCCGTCAGATTCGTGACACAAATGTTCAAATGTAGGTTGTAAATAAACACGAAGGACTTTCAGGGCTCTGCTGGTAAGTCAGTAAAATCTACCACGCTGACAACACGTCTTTGTTTTTGGCGTTTTAAACAGAAAATGTCAGTCTATCCGGCTAGAAAACGCACTAAACTTTCACTGGTGGACACTGAAGTAACAGCACAGCATGCATGGAAGAATGCAGTGTGAAATTAAATATGATCGTTGGGTGTAGAGATTCAATTTGAAGCACATCTCTCACGTGTTAGACGGGTAGTTTCTCTTTCTGGCTAATAAAGATTCTTGGTAAGGTTAGTAACTAGTTGGCTGCTGCGTTTCAAAGTCACAGGCAGTAAGGAGACTCAAAAGACCTTCTATTGTACGTTTAATAAAGGACATGGCAGCAAGAATAATGCCTGCAGGTACAGAGAGGATTCGATGATTGCAGGGCACGTGGAGTGTGAAATGAGCGAGAAAACAGAGATGAGGCAGTTACCTAAGTCAAGAGGAGAGGAGAGGTCAGAGACTGGGTTGGCTGCCACAGCCTTAGAGGGAAAGCTTGTGAAAGGAGAATAACCTGAAATACAAGAAAAGAAGGGAAAGAAGGCAAATACAGAGAGATGTAGAGAAATGCGTAAAGCCAAATGAAGGAATGAGAGGGGAGTCAAGATTTAGATTAGTATGCACAGGCGCCGGGCTTTTTTCTTCTCACACATACATGATCACCCACATAGTGGGAAGCAGGTAGGACACTCCAAGGTTACGGCTCTGAATGCTTAGACAGCTTCATATCTGCTGGATTCCTCACTCACACACATCCTCATTAAGAAGCTGCACTTTACCTTGTGGTGGCGCCCCGGGCTGATAGGCTGAAGCGGGGCCGTTGTAGGGAGCGTACGGGGCGGGGTATCCCCCATCCAGGGGAGCGTAGCCAGGCTGACTATAGCCAGGCTGGGGCTGGCCGTATGGAGAGGCCATTGGAGTGTGCTGGTTTACATTCATCCTCAGTTCATCCCTAAATCTGGATGAAATCGTAACACAAGCATAAACAGTTACTCAACACCATAAACTTTGTTTCGCCTGCTGTTAGGAGTAAACAGATGTAACACTACGACGACGACACCTGCAGCGTGAAAGCCCCACGAGACGAGACACTAATAAGGATGAAGCCCTGTCGTGGCAGTCTTGGGTTCCCCTGAGCATAAAGGGGTAGATTCTTTGGAGGGACGATCTGCCCTCACAGCACTGCTAGTGCCGTGGGAAAAATGTGGGCAATGGACGGAACCTCAAAAAACACAAGTAATCAATCTTAGAAGGACACGTACTGCAGGCGCTCTGGTTTAGGGAAAAGTGCTGCTCAGGATCGTCTTTTCTGTTCAGCTTAAAACTGAAAGCAGTCCAAACAAAACAGACTTTTGAGTCTGACTGAGTGTGCCTGCACCATGCACCTGAACTAATACAGTAATATTAAACACATTTAGCCTGCAGCGCTCTCTGTGATCTGTAAGTCTCTGCTGTCAGAAACAAATCACACCGACTTGTGACGTTTATGTTTCCTGGTTGGGTGACAACACCTTTATGGACTTTTTATGTTTGACTTTGCCACACCCTCAGATTGTATATCCCCCACTAACTATTGAGTTCTCCCACAATGAGCCACAATACAACGATTCACATGTTTAAAAAAAAACTGCTCACAAAGACATGGTACCACTTAACCAAAACTGAAACCAAACAAACCCAATAATCTGGAGCAAAACAGACACAAATCCTTCAGTATGCTTCTCATGTGTCAGAGTGGGATTGAATACCTGATGCTGTGTCGTTTGCTTGAGTGAAAGCTTTAGGGGTCCTAGCAGGCACACAAGACCCCCCAAATGATAACTTACACGGGCAATCAACTTTAAGAGCATGATTCCTCCTGCAGATCACATGTCAACCTTGCTAGCAGCAGATGTGTACGACTGGTGTTATTTATTCACCTGGCGTCTGGAGACAGGCCTAACCTATATGACAGAGTGATGAGTATCATCTAACAGACAAACACGGGCTAAACGAGCGGGGCCTTTGAATAATTCAGCACTTCAGGTGCCACAACGAGAAATACAATCGCCGGAGCCGTACAGCTATTTAGTATGTCGGGCCTACTGAGTGACCCACATCTGCTCCCCTCACTGAGTTGCACAATTAATGAACTGGGTCAGAACTACTCAAAACTCACAAAGAAACACGATATATAAGGATAAGAAACAAAAGCCAGGTAAAAATCAAAGACCAGCTTCGTGGGAGGAATGTGTGACAGCAAGCAAAGCCGTGGGAAAGCTGGCGAGCGTAGAAGTGCCGCATTACAATTAGCTCGCTAGCTAGCTAACATTAGCAAGATAACATGTCAACCAAAACCCCAAAAAACAACGTCTGGCTCACACATGAAGCAGCTAACTGAGTCTAAGCACCCACTAGAAGCGAAGAATTCACTTAAATGGAGCCAACTCAGAGTACATGAGAGCTACCTTAGCATGCTAACGTTAGCAACAGGACAACTTGAATCATGATGACAGCAGCAGTGGTTGAATCAGCTGTGACCAAATCGCCACAACCGGAGCTAGCCGACGTTAGCCGACTAGCTCAGCCACTAACCTCCAGCTACTCGGCGGAGCGCTGCTAGCCGTGCATTAGCATTAGCGTTAGCTAGCATTAGCAAACGAAATCCAAGATCCCCCAGTGAAGCCCGGCAAGAGACGTCAAACATGGACCGCTCTCAAAATGAAACCTACCTCCCAAGTGGTGTAAGTAGTAAGGCTATCCTTTGTTCGTGGCAAACTGTGGAACCCGGTGACCGACACAGTAAGAAGCCGATGTCGTCCCGGGGTGTTGCTCACTAATCCTGCTCGGTATCAGAAGCGGACATTCAGCGGAACTGCTGCAGCGCTGTGCCACGTCCACATCCGGACACCGCAGAGACACTTCCTCCACGTTCATCTCTGCTGCACCGACTGTCACTGGATGTAAGCTTTACTATGAAACCAACTGTTTAGATTAAAAAACAACAACAACATTCTCTTTAGCTTTCGAGGTGGGAATTTAGCAACAAGTGCAAAGTAATGAGACCCACTCAGCTCTCATGTAGCGCTTAAAGTCATCCAGGTCATTTTCACAGGTTGTGGCCAAATGAGACCACGTAAGGCATAAGACCACATGAGACCTTACATTTTAAGGTCCCATATGGTCAGAATCGGTTTTATTGTTGTTTTTTGTGGTGTGTAAGATCAGTCTGCAGGTTTAAGTACTTCCTATGACTCTAAAATGTCTCAACCAGGAGCAAAGCAGCCTGTTGTTGGCTGCAAGAGTGAACACAACAGTCCTCATGCACTTCCAGCATCTAGCGGATTGTTTTTTATTACTGATGTCACCACAGCAACAGGAAAACCTTAATGTTGGCCCAGCTGAGGCTAATGTGGCTAATGCTGCTATTAGCTATGATGGTATGTCCACAGGTCAGAGCTCTGTGGAAATAGTAAAGCTGAGGGACGAGACGATGGAAACCTGAAGACTAGTTTAAAACCACTAACCAAGGACTTGGTGTTTACATCTGTTAGCTTCTCTCCTCCCTCTGTGCTCACATATTCTGCAGCCGAATTCCCAACAGAGCTGTTTGCATTTACTTATTTTTCTGTTTCTGTTGTCAGACAACAGCACAGATATTAAACAGTGAGTGTAAATATCAATGATAGTACAATTATAGTACAGCTATAATCTAATTCTGATATGCCCTGGGCCCATCTGTTAAAAATTAATTCCCAATAAACCATGTTAAAAAAAAAAAAAGCATTATGTAGCATTTATATTTCGGTTAATAGGCTATGGGAGAAACATTACAATTTAAATAAAGTTAATTTGTGCTAAAGTTTCCTACTGAGTTTTGTAATAAAGTTCTAGTCTGTCAGGATTTATTTACTCTCTAAGCAGTGTATAGATAATGGATGGATGGATGTTATTTTGATATTCAGTATATACTTACACTCACACACACATGTTGGCCCAAAGTCCTTTTTTGGACACTCACTCTTATCATTTTCTTATGTGACATTTATTATTTTCATGCATTTCAGGCTTGCGGTGTGGGTTGGAGGTCAAGAGAAGAATAGATAGACATATCAGGTGTTTATAGATTCAGTCATGTAGTTTTTTATTTTAAACATTTATTCAGCGTACATTTCAATTTTACTGTTATTATTATTGAAGGTTGTTAATATTTGCTTCCCTCCAGAGCGTCGACGGTCCATCAGGAGCTCCTGCGGTGAAACTATTTCCTCTATTTATTGCTGTTCTGGGAGGTTTATTCATTTGTCCAGTCTGACCTGACAAGTGAGCTGGTAACAAGCAAAAAGGTGCTGCCACCGGGGCGGACTGGGTTTCTTTCTTTTTTATTTTTTTTAATATATATTTGTTTGTTTTGTTTGTCTGCCTCCCTCACTAGTTCTTAACTGTACTCCTGTCTAATCACAGCCACACGATCAGGCCTAAGAGGGGATTCTTAATTGCTTGATGAATCACCAATTATATGTGGACATTTTTCAGGCCTTAAATCGTGAAGGCTAATCGACTGCACTGGTGGGATTCTAGTGTAGTGTATTCTAGTGGGAATAAACCTCTGACCTGGTGGGAAGTGAACTGTGACATTAAGGCACAGCGTGACGTCAAGACTGCCGTTTAACACTCACACATACATTTTTCAGGTAACCAGTAACTGATTAAAAATCTGGAACTGTTGCTTAACTTTTGCTTTTTTAATTGTTGATAAAGCTCATGTGATGATTCCAATTACACAAGATAATTAACGATATGTTAAATAACGGTAGCAAAAGTGTCCTTGTTCTGCTCACCTAGTTGAGACGTCACACTTTTTTTTTCTTCCGTCTTTTGGTTGCAGATTCTGGGTCAGTGTTCCCAGCAGTTAGTGCCACTTGTTTCCAAAGCTCTTTAAAATAAGTTTCACCCGTATGATCTTAAAGAATCTGCACAAGAGCTTCGACTAATCCCACAGTTAAATCACACACTCTGAAACTATCAAAAACATGCACCAACTGCTTGTTTATCTGGTTGCAATTAATGATAAAAAACAAAACAAAAAAAACCAACTGATGCACATTTTTAATGACAATAATCTGAAATCTTTGAATTGCAAAAATAAATCAGTGTAAACATTTTGTGGTTGGTCCGACCTACTTGGGTGTTTGTGGTTGAATAGAGGGTGGCTGTGCGGTTAAAGTGCATCAAGGTAGAGAAAAGGTTTGCAAAAATAAAAGAAAGTTCTGCCAGAAAACATCAGTAACTCGACTTCTATGAGCAGGTGCGTAGTCCTCCTTTGGTCCGTGGCCACCCTGGGTCACCCCTTTTTTGATTAAACTCTAATATTTATTAAATGTCATATATATACTGGCCCAATTGTTTTATGGACTTGACTGTCTTGGCTCTCCCTGATCCTTTTAGTCATCATTCAAATAATAATAATGTGTCCAAAGGCAGCCATCTGAATCTGTGTCAGCACATGCAGCATCGCCAAACGTAAGCCAGAAGAAGCCAGATCTGTCCACGTTCTGACCTTGAAAACGTGCAGCAGTTTGTCGCAGGAATCAGCCCAAATCTGAAATCATAGGCGTGTGATTCATCGCAGATCTGGCACGAGGTCGATGTAGCGATCACATACAAGAGCTGAGTCCAAATGTTTTTAATCATCTGCCTTTGTTCTGCCAAATCAGACATGTTGAATCTGATCTCTCTCGCTGCTTAACTTCGTGAAATTGTGTTTTCTTGACAGCAATCACAAAGCGAGGCAGACGGTTGTGTCTCCTCTGAGGCCTCCCACTGCCGCTCGGTCGGTTAACCTGTTGGGATTCCTGAAATGTTTCCCCCCACGTCTGAGGTCGGGGGGTTCTGTGGGGAAATGAAGACGAATCTCTGCTGTCCAGAGCCGGGGGTCGAACGGGGGAGCGCTGCTGATGGTTATTTCTGGACGGTATATCAGCAAGCATCCCCTCTTGTGCTTGAGAGTGACATGGCAAGTGTTGAATACAAGGGAGGATGCACACACACACACACACACACACACACACACACACACACACACACACTTCAGCCCCTTCTCGCCCTCCCGAGCGCCCACCCTCCCTCTGACACAGCATTCCAGTGTAAGCAGATGAAAGCCAGCCACCCCCTTGTCTCCTCGTGGGTGGAGTGTTTCACCGTGGAGCGCTGCCGAGGGGACACTCTCTCATTGATTCTCGCCCCGAAGACGGGTGGAGGCAGCGTCGGGCCGTGAGCCGGGATGGTCGCGGAGGAGATCGTGGTCTGCCTGTCTGGAGGAGCTCCGTGGGGCTTCAGGCTGCAGGGAGGAGCCGAGCAGCAGAAACCTCTCCAGGTGGCAAAGGTAGGGCGGCGGAGACGATGTGTGTGTTTGTGTGTGACATGAGGAGGTGGATTTAACTGAAACTTGTGGTGTTTGTGATCTAAAGTGTGGTTGGAAACTAAAAAAACACAATAAATGAGACTCAGTGCTGTTGCTCTTTTTGGTGTAAGCTTCTACTTCAGCTTATAGTCATCTAATTTTAAAACAAGAATTACATTGCACTTAAATGCTCATAATCATAACACCGTGTGCGTAATAAATACACCTGTAAGGCAGCTTGACTACTTTTGATCTCCCTCCTGCCTCACACAACAAGACGTCCTGTATTGTGTTTTTCTTGCTCCTTTGGCAGCGTCCCAGTTCAATTTGGCCCTCACCTGTTGTGATTGAGTTTGTGGGTCAGGGAACGGCGTGAACACATGTTGGGGGGTTGATCTGGACTCAGGTTCCAGATTAGTCGGCGGGGGTTTCTTTCAAATAGTGTGTCACCGAGTCGATGATGAACTTGTTCCAGGTTTCACTCGTCACATATTTCTCAGTCGACTGTAAGCCCAAGTTATGTGTTTCATTTGGTTTCTCTGAGGGCCTTTCTTTTTTTTGTGTTTATATTTGTTGACAGTCTCTATTAGAAAAGGTTATTCCCGAAAGCAGAAATGCGACCTCGCTCACACCGACGTTGAACGTGGGCCAGTCCGGTTCCAAATGGAGGCGGCGGCGGCGGCCTTCTCTTTATCAGGGATTTTCAAGTAGATAAGGTCACCTTAATGGGAGTTTGATCGCCGTGTGCTTCCACTCGTTACTGTATACGTGTGTGTGTGTGTGTGTTTATGTGGGCTCGGACATACCTCAGATAAGCCCGGTTGGGAATGGAGCGCAAACTAGAGGATCAGAATAGCTCGTTTAAGAGGAGCTGGAAGCTGAGAGTGGAAAAAGGCCGACCTCTTGTTCGCAGACAGATATCTCCTCACACAGAACCGCGCACAAACATTTTCGTGTAAGCATTTAATTCTAGTGTTGTGTGGTTTTTTCTCTCCCTGTGTTTGCCATCACGGTAGCGCCTGTCTTCCTGCGTCTGTCTAGGAATGCGGCTGATTGTCCTGCGAGGTTTTATTTCGGGTATGCGGGGAACATATGCTGAGTGACAGGCATGCCCCCCTGGTACCGACTGGTGATGCAGCTGTTCAGAGCCCCTCTTTCATGATGCTCGCTTGTGCCGTGTGCACTTTGTGTGAAAGATCGATTACCTCGTGTGAGTTTATTTGGGTCAGGAGATACCGATAACGGCGAACGCCCTCGAGTAGGTGTTTGGACGCACTCAACATTTTTACCTCCAGTAGAGATAATGTATATATCGTGTGCGGGGAGACAGACGGCCTTATCGTCCTCTATTAGAGGCGACTGTAATCTAGAGGACAAGAATACACACTTCCCCACCTTTACCATCTATCACCCTCGCCCACCCCACCCCACACACACATACTTCCTGAAGGGTCCTGTGACATCATCTCTCAGCGACCTCCGGCAGCAGCTGCGTGACTTCATGAGTTATTCTGATACGGGGACGGCGATGGCAGCCGCTAAAGGAGAGCTGAACTCACTCACTTTTTCTATAGGTCACACAGCTTGTGACGACTTAGCAAGAGAGAGAAACCAGCCGAGCATTTTATAATAATATGGCTCCCAGAATAACTGGCAGCCATCGAGGTTAACCCTCCGAACCTCAACACCTGCAGGTGAATTCTCAGGTTAATCAATAAATGACACTATTTATCACCGCTCCATCAATTAAAAAACAGCAGCAAGCTACTATGATTTAACCACTGGAACAACATCATTTGGTTTCTGCATAATACGTACAAAGATGGGTCAAAATATTGCTCATCCATCCATCCATCATCTCTACACCTTAATCCTCACTAGGGGGGCTGGAGTCTATCCCAGCTGACTCAGGGTGAAGGCAGGTTCACCTGGACAGGTAACCAGTCTATCACAGGGCTACACTTAGAGACAGACAACCAAGCACACTCACAGTCACACCTACAGACAATTTAGAATCACCAATTAACCTCAACATGTTTCTGGACTGTGGGAGGAAGCCGGAGAACCCGGAGAGAACCCACGCTGCACGGGGAGAACATGGAGACTCCACACAGAAAGATCCCGGGTGTCCTCACCGGGATGTGAACCGGCGACCTGCGAGGCAACAGTGCTAACCACTGAGCCACCTAATTTTAATGAAAATAAAAGCCAAAAGTGCATGGAACCACTTGTCTGAAAGGTCAAATGTATAATGGCAGGCGGAGAATAATGAATAAATAAATGGTAAAGTACACCCAGTACACTATTAAAAAAACAGAAAATGAGTAACAGAAAGATGACGCTAAATTAAATACAACTGTAAATAATGTCACATTACAGCCAAACACTGTAAAAGAATGAAATGTCATTTACACAGTAAAACAAAACGTGGCAAAGCGTAGAAATAACATTAATTTGTCCAAGACGTTACAGTAAAAATGTGTTTAAAATTAAGTGTAAGAAAGTACGTCTACTCTGCAAGTATCAGAATCAGAATCAGCTTTAGTGGCCAAGTATGGACATAACATTCAAGGAGTTTGGTTCCGGCTGTTGCCCTGGGAAAGAGAAAAGAATAACAATAAGGTAAAATAACTATAGAAAGAAGTAAAATAAAATAATATAAAATAAGATAAATATATACAAGAATATAAACATCTAGCAGAAAACAATACATGTACAGTCGTGGAAATAATATTATTATTCATGCTAATAACTCCTTCTCCTGTTTTCAGGTCCGCAGACGCAGCAAAGCGTGTCGAGCTGGGCTGAAGGAGCACGATGAGCTGGTTGCCATTGGCGACCAAATGTGTGCAGAGCTCAGTCACGCCGAGGCCATGAGCCTCATCGACGCCCAGAGCGCCTCGCTCAGCCTCCGGGTCAAAAGGTCAGAACATGACACAGACGCTGACCTCGTCGTCATAAAATACAAACTGATGCATGTTCTGCATTTTGGCAACTCCTGGTCCGTGTGTTTTCCAGGAGCCCCTCTGGATTCCTCTCCTCATCTTACTCGGGTCGCTCTGCGTCGCCTCGATCCTCCGTCAGGGTTCTGTCTCCTCCCGCCACTGAGGTGCCCAAAGGCATCACGTCGCCGCCCGACAGCGAGGCTTACTACGGCGAGACGGACAGCGACGCCGACACGCGGCCGAGCACGCACCGCCGCCAGCGCCGCACGCCGCCTCACGCACGCTCACCTGCTCGCTACGACAACCAGGAAGAGGAGGAGGCCTCGGAGATGAGCGGGTGAGACACCTGAAGTCCTCCTGGTCGTCCTGCTGCAGCACAACGTTTAAACATCACACTGTGGTTGTTTCTTTGTCCATCATTCAACATCATAAACTGAAGCATGTTTAAAATAACACACGCTTGAGTTTAACGTCTTCCATCAACCTCGAGGAGCATTAAAGCTACTGAGCACAATAGTTGTTTTATCAGTCAAGGGCTAAAGTATGGCAGGTGTAGTCGTCCTTGCAGAAAATAAAGTACTTTATTGTGCTGACCTTCCTGGATTACATGAGTCTGGATCACCAGATGTGGCTTCACGTGGCTTTCTCCTTCCTTTCCACTATTTACTGTTTTCATTGTGGGAAGCAACGACCTCCAAGCAGGCAACCTACCACATTAAACTGCTTCATGTTTTGCAGAGGAGAAGCCCTGCTAGCGGCGAATTAGCCATTTTAATAACAGCACTCTCCTCCCGACTCCTCCAGAGTCGCACCATTAGCTCAACTCCTCCCAGTGTGATAGTGATCAGTGTAAAGAGGATCAGTCGTTCTGCAGTACAGAGCGGTCTGACTAAGCCGGACTATTGATCCTTTATAAGCTTTGAAATATTCACCTGGAAAAAATAGCATCAAATTCATTCAGTAACAGCTGCAAGGCCAAAATGAGCAACCTCTGCCTTCATAGACACTTGATGCTTGAGAGAATTATGATATATAATAATTCTGTCTGTCTCTATTAGCAAAACAATTCTAGCAAATGGAGATTTTTATTCGAAAAGCTGTAAATGACAGAGTAAATAACAGCCTGATTCTACTGATTCTACCACCAAAGTTCATAGATCAGAAATGTAAACCACACCCGTTATATTCATTGTAGTACTTACAGGCCCTTCAGTAAATTTATCACCAACAGCAGCCTTTAAAAAATGGTGTCTGGTTGCATTATGATAACGTGTACAGCCTGGTTCCAGTTAAAGGGTTAAAGGACACTTATATGGAGTAGTGAGAGCGCCACATTACAAAAATAAATCAATAAAAGAATTTTAGAAAATAACAGTGCAAATAAAAAGAAGAATAATATTTTTTTAGTTTTATTATTTTTTAAAATTATTTTCTTTTATTTCTTTTTTGCTTTTAAAGCGACATTTAATTTAAAGCAACATTTAAAAGCAAAGTGTGCAGAAAAAGGTGCGCAGTAGGAATGTCGCTGTGCACACCTTTTTCTTTTCCTTTGCTTTTAGATGTTGCTTTCAATAAAAGCAAAAAACAGAAAAGAAAAGAAAAGAAAAAGTCGCTTTAAAAGCTAAAAAGAAAGAAAAAATTGAAAATAACTTAGAAATAAATAAATTAATTAAAAAAATAAAAATGATAAAAAAATAAATAAATAAACAATAAATTTAAAAGACAAAAATAGTATTAAATTAATTATTATAATATTTACTCTTCTTTTTATCCCCACTTTAATTTTTAAAAATTCTTTTATTGATTTATTTTTGTAATCGGGCACTCTCACCACTCCATACACGTCTATCAAAGTTTACTGGAGCATATATAACTCTGATGAACAGCCACGACTTCTTCAAAATTTAAAAAAAAAAAACAGAAAACAATGATTTAAATTCAGAATACGTACCATCAGCTCAGTGTCTGGTCTCCCTGTTCAAGCTGATGTTCCTGTTCTCAGGTATGAGAGCGCTACAGAAGCAGGCGTCGCCCTGCAGGCCCAGT